GAAGTCAATTTTTTTTTTATGTAATTTATTGACAACTAAAACTTGCTAAGTTAGAAATCTGATATCAAAGAAAGTAAAATTGTTTTTAAATGAATTGAAGAATGCTGTACACTGTGCCAAAAAAGGGGGGCAGTTTTATATCACACATTCTACTAGCATGATTGACGAAATTCAAACTGCGTTTTTCATGTCTCGAAAGCGTGACTTAGGATATATATTAGATTTATATATAGTATTGTTCTAATATAGGTATTTTGATGCAAAATCGTACTTTTTCTGAAATGGCATGCCAATTTTTTCCATATTTCGATTCTGCAACTCAAATTATGCCTAAATATTAAATTTTGCACAATTGTGTGAAATTTAAAAAGGAATTCAAAAATTTATCTTGACACATTTTTTTCAGTCTGTGCCAAGAATAATTCACTTGGTGAACTTCTTAATATATGGCAGCCTATTTTCCTTTCCCTTTTTACATTGTGCAATGAGCAAAAAAAAAAGTCACATTGTTCCTACTTTCAAATAATTTTGTAGCGACGTTGAGAACTCGGCGCTCGCAAATTCGAAAGAATTAGAATTCTTGAACATAGTGCAATGGAGTTCTTTTGGGCTAGCGGTAAAGAATTCGACTTGTAATAAACCGACCCAGGTTCAAGTCCCGCTCATACGATGCAGCACTTATCACCAGTGTTAATAGGTGACGACACGAGCAAGCAACTACCGAGGTTTCATGAACGTGATCGTTACAGTTTTAACAAAGTGCCTAAACCACATTTGATGTTATTATCGCTTTCAACAAATATGCCAAATTTCAAAACACCCAATATATAAATTCCTGTATATCTTCAAAAATTTTGAGTAAAAAAACTATAATTTTTTGCAGGTATGCTTAAAAATACATCTACTTTTAAGATGTTAAAAATTTTACAGTTTACAATGCAAATTTTTTTTCAAGAAGTTTATAAAAATACTTAAAAATACAAATTTTAAAAATAAATCATAAATATGCATAGACCTCCAACTACTACGGATTCTCTGTAGTTTCTACGGAAATTCATGAAAAACTACGAGCTATGAAAAGTATGGAAAAAACTACGGATTTTACAGAAACAAGAGCAGGAGAACCAGTACGCAAAACGGAACCAACTAATTCATCCGATGATTTGGCTGAATACTCGTGTTATCATATATCACGTGTTGAGTGCGTTCCTAGTTTTGAAGAATTAGCCAATCGTAGATCAGTAACTCCAACCGTTAACGACTTATCAATAGTTCCACCCAATTGTCTGTCTCCCAGGTTCCTCGCTGATGCGTGTTTAGGCTGCATTCGGCTGCATTGTGTAGTTTACGGCGAGAGCTTAGCATGTGTCTTGTGAACTGTGAATCAGGTGAAAGATTTTTAATCATAATGCTGCCTCGAACGAAGAAGCCAAAATTATCAAAGCAGAAGTTTAAAGATTCATATTCTTCAGAATTTCCATGCATTAAAGCGTCCGAAATTTCTGTGAATCACGCACACTGCAGTGTATGCAACAAAGACTTCTCAGTTGCTCATGGCGGAAAAGATGACTGTAAACGGCATGTGTTTTCTCAAAAGCATATAGAACTTGGCACCGTAAAATCTAAAGAAATAACAAATTTCTTAATAAAAGATGATGAAACAGATCCTATAAAAGCTGAATGCTATTTTGTTCGTTTTTTAATTGAACATAATCTACCGCTTTCTGTTTCGGATCATTCCAAAGAGCTTTTCAAAGCAATGTTTCCGGATTCTGCCATAGCAAAAAAATTTAGCTGCGGTCATACGAAAACTGCTGCTATTGTGAAAACGCTTGCAGAAAATACTGTTGCCAATATTATAAAATCAGTACATCATTTTCTCTAAGTACTGATGGAAGTAATGATAACAATGATAACAAACTGTACCCATTGGTTATAACATACTACAGTAAAGAGAAGGGAGTGATAATTACTTCATTGATTTCTATTTTAGAATACACGAATAATACAGGAGAAGGTATTTTTAATTGTATAAATGAAAACTTTAAAAACAAAGGTTTAGAATGGAAAAATTGCTTATCATTTTCTTCAGATAATGCTAGTAATATGATTGGAAAGTTTAAAGGTGTAGCATCATTTATCAAAATGCATCAACCAAGTATAATCACCCGAGGTTGTCCGTGCCACCTCTTGCATATAGCTGCAAAAAAAGCTCTACTGAAAAATTAATTGGCTCAGAAAATTGAAATGTTGATAATAGATATATATTTTTACTTGGAGAAAAGTTCGAAACGGAAGCATAGCTTCAAAGTTGCTCAACAAATTTTGGGACAGAATGCAAAATCTCATAAAATTTTGAAATATTGCAGTACGAGATGGTTGTCTCTTTTAGAATCTATAACAAGGATTTTAAAACAGTGGGATGCTGTGATAAATTTTTTTGGAGATAAACCAGATAACAGTGAGAATGAAGGAAAGAGATTGCAAAACATTAAAAAAATTTTACAGTCACCGACCACCAAATTGTACTTGTTATTTTTGAAAAATACTTTGCCTTTGTTTATAACAGTAAATATTAATTTGCAACAACAAGCTCCTTATATACATAAATTGAGAAGAGAACTTTTTGAACTTTTAATGAATTTATTTGTTAGATTCGTAAAACCATCAGTAATTTCTAAAGAAAATGAAGATGTTACTCTAACGTCTATTCCATTTCAGAAGTATAGTAAACAAAAGAAAATGAAAATTTAGTGATTGGTGCGGAAACAAGACTATATTAAAAAATGCCAAGTGAATGAAAGTGAAGTGAAATCATTTTTCAATTCTGTGCGAGCTTTTTTGTAACTGCATGTTCATATATAATTGATAAATTTCCACTGAGTGATCCATTTCTAAAACATGCTGAAGTTGCTGACATCAACTTGAGAACTGAAGTCTCATTTTCATCTGTTCTTTACTTGATGAATACTTTTCCATCCATTATTGATGAAAAATGTCTTAATCAAGTAGAAATTGAATTTTCCATGTATCAAGTAGATGATTTGAAAGAAATTGTAGATTTGCGTACTGATATAGCATTGGGAGAAATTGCCAAATTAAAAAATATGAATGGGTGTATTAAATACAAAGTATTTCCTTCTGTAATGCTTGCTGTCTTAATAATACCTCATTCAAATGCAGCTTGCGAAAGAATTTTTTCTATTGTTAAAAAAAATCAGACGGAATTTCGACCAAATTTAGGTCTTAAAACTCTTGAAGCAGTTTTGATTGAAAAAATAAATATGCAGGCAAATGAAGAACTGTGTTATAAAAAAAACATTCTCAAAATCAGAACTTAAGCTTGCTAAGCATGCTACATATAAATCTTTGCATTCATAAATTATGCGTATTTTTGTTTAATACTTATATGTATCATTCTTGGTTATTTAAATTTTATTTCCCTGTAGAAATCATATCCAGAATAAAGATATGATTTATAGCTTCTGATTTTTTCTATGATTAGTAGTGATTGAAGTACTTTAGTACTTTTTATTAGTGAATGCTTGAGGAGTTAAAGAAAGAAATTTCTAATTAAATGTGCATATAATTTACAAGGTATATTTTAATTATTCAGTTTTATTATGTACATGGATTTTAAATGTAATAAAATTGATTACAATTAATTATTAATTTAAAATTAATGAATGGTTAATTACAACATACGCTACGCGCACATTTTCAAAGTTGTAAAAATGTCGTTCGCGCGTTGACTACTGACAAGGTTTGCTGAAGGTTGGAGTCTATGAATATGTGCGAATTATATTTGGATTAAGCCTAAATTTTGAATTCTGGAAGAAGGAATCAACTAAGTTTAATAAAAAAAAGAGATATTAATAAATATATATCACATACAATTAACATTGAAGAGCTAACTTTTCAAAATTACTCGTGCGATTTTTACAAAACTTGGCAGTTTGGCATAATTTGAGTCATAGAATTGAAATATGGAAAAAAAAAAATTGGCATGTCATTTCAGAAAAAGTCCGATTTTATGTCAGAATACCTATGTTAGAACGATGCTATATATAAATCTAATATATATTCTAAGTTGTGCTTTCGTGGCATTAAAAATGCAATTTGAATTTTGTGAATAGTCCCAGTAGAACGGGAGATATAGAACTGTCTCCCCCTTTTTTTGTGCAGGATACGTTCCTACAGCTATGATGAAGCTATGGAAAAGTAAAAAATGAAATTTTCCAAAGAACCTAAAATTTAGAATATCCAGTTAAATGCTATTATATTTTATGTCAGAATTAAACTACCATATTTGACGACATATAAGACGCACCCTTATTTAGATGGCCACACATAAGAAAAAAAGTTTCAATAGCGTGGTTTATTTTAGTTCTCATGTTTCGTAAAAGCCAAATAAACAATTATTGAATGCAATTACCTTCACGTATAAGACGCAGGTAACTTTTTTGAGGCCAAATTTAGGAAAAAAAGTGCGTCTTATTATGCCGTCAAATACGGTACTATTAGTTCATTACAGCAACCATTCATTATAAAGTGAATTAAAAGCCAGCTCCTGGAGTTCCTTGGAAATGATGTAGCATGTAGCTGTGCCTTTTGGTTTTATATGCTAATGCATCATTCATTATCTTTGAGCTTAATGCCTTCCATTTCTGAAAGATGAAACTACATCACGTAATTTATTTCTGCATATTTAGGCTGCACGTTTCTGACATTCTTCTAACATTATTTTTAGATTCTGTGTTATTTATTGCAATTTGATAAGAGCATCTGAAGCTTTAAGAATACTAAAAGTGATTTCCATGTAAGTTAACATAAATGCTTTGCCACATGTTCGTCTCATCTTAGAAGTGGTTTCACACAAACCATCTACTTTAATAAAAAGAGCAAAAACTTGTATTAGGTTCTTTGTTTATGTATCAGTAATTTTTCAACAATTTTGTTCAAATATTTATCAATTATAGTTGTTTTTGCTTTTTTCGAAGGTTCACCTGTCTATGGAGCTATGCTTATTGTGAAACAGTTTCTGGTCAGAAAATGTGGTCATGAAAAAAATCCACTTCCAGCATCAGACTGTCTACTTTCTATGACTGAGAATGGGAATCCTGACCATTACATATTAGCTACTCAAGATCTAGAGTTGAGTGAAAAAGTATGTAAATATTAATAGCACTTTAGTTACACTTGGAGAACAAAGCTTTCTAGAATGGTCATCCTTTAGAGATAGCATTAATAATTTTTTTCCCTTTATAATTAAAAAGTATAAATCACTTCTGTAAGCAAAAAGAATTTCATAATGCAATCCTGATCTAGCCTGATAAAATCTCAAAGTTGGCAAAAAATTAATAAAATCGTTACTTGAATTTTTTCAAAGAATTTAAATGTCCTGCTGTGATTATCTCATTTAAAGCATTTGAGATGAAATAAATGTGCAGGTTATACCATTAATATTGCTGTTACATTTAAAGCTGAATGTTATTATTCTTAATCATTTGGCAATATTAGCTGTAACAGTGCTAATGATCATATGAGAATCCTTCAGTACTAATTATGTTTGGTGTATCCCAGCAGTTCTCAACCTTTTGACTAGTGCATACCATTTAAACAAAAATTGAAAAACCTTAGTACCACTACTACATTTTGCAATGATTATTTTTCAATTTCTCAATAGAAATATTTAAAAACATTTTGCCATTTGCACAATCTATTGGCTATTTGTATTAAATATACACAGATAAAAAATATTGCTTACCATTTTAAATTATCAAAATGTAAGTTATAATACTTTAATTCTAAAATTCAGTGCAAAATTTAGGCTTGTTTAAGGCAGATCAATTTCTTTATGTCTGGTCTTATTTCATCTATTTTTAATCGTAAATTAGGATCCACTAGTCGAATGTTAACAAGTACGTTATTATTGAAATCTTCAGTTAGAGTTCGATCACAGGAAATTTATATCAATTGCTCTTTTTCTTCACAAATAAAATTTCAGGTGCATTTGAACAAAATGGATTTCTAATGCAATTTTCTATTTCGTAATCGTCGGGAAAATACATGTTGAAATTATTTATCAATGAAAAACAATGATTTTTAATCATGGATGCTAATTATTCTTTTATTTCAAAATTATTCTCAGTTAGAAAACTTTCTAAAGTGGTAAAAAGCTTAAAATATTATTATCCAATTCTTTGATTATTAGATCGAGCTTTTTTTATCATTGCATTTATTTTATGTGTAATAGTAAACAAATGAACACTTTGTCTTTGTAATCCTAAATTTAATTCATTTAACATTTCAAAAATATCAGCTAAATATTCTAAAAAAGCCAACCATAATTTACTAAATAAGCATTTTTGCAATTCTAATTTTGAATCACGGAGGAAAATTTTTATATCTGATCAAAACTCAAAAAGACCTTTAAAACTTTGCCACCATACTTCAGAATGTAACAAAAGCATTTCATGTTCACTGCCCATCTCTTCACACAAAATCGTAAATATTCACCTTGAATTTAAGGCTCGACTTTTAATAAAATTAACAATTTTCACAGCTTGGTTCAAAATGATTTTCAGGTTTTTGGGGATATGTTTTGAATAAATTTAATTTCATATGCGACTTTCTTTATTTGAGAAATAACACCATAATGTTTTCCTGTTGAACCCAAGCTACGTTACTGCATATGACAACGCACTTATTCTAAGGAATATCACTCTTAGATATAAAATTGTCAGTTACTTTGAAAATTTCATTTGAAGTTGCTCTATCATGAAGAGATTGACAAAATAAATATTCTTCGGCATTCCGTTTATCTTCTTCAAAACCATATGTAAACTAATAAATGAACAAAGTTCATTTATATCAGTACTTTCACCCAATTCAAATGGGAAATACACAGTGTGTTTTACGTTTTTAATAAGTGTCTCTTTTATGGAATATGTCATTTTATGAATTCATTGACTAATGTGAAAGCAATATCTTTAGCTGCTGGTAATATAAGGTTTTCCTCAATAGTGTAAACTTTACCAGTCTTGGCAATTCTTAGGCTTACTAGGTAACTAGCTTCCAAAGCTTTTTCACTTGAAGTTACAGAACCTTTCATTACTTGTTTACGATTTTTGAAAGCTCAGATCGCATAAATTTAGGAGTGTTGGAGAAAACCTAAACAGTATTTTTACTACTAAGTTATTTAATTTTTGAATTTAATAGTTAAAAATACTTTGTTTCTTTGCCTACCACCTATTTTTCTCTGACCACCAATTGAGAATTGATGGTCTATCCTATATTTCATGATATTATTGTTAAGCTCCTCTCTTATTTTTTCAATGTTCTGTAAGTTCATCGGATTTCAATGCATATGTGGACAGAAAAAAAGCATTTTCTGTAGAAATAATATATGTGATATTGCTACATAATGATTATTGTGTCTCTTTTCATTGAATTCTTCAATGAAAATAAAAAAGTAAATCAATTAATATTTTTGAAAATAATAATAAAATAATCAGTATTTGAGTAGCTCAAAATATGACTTATGTGAATACTCTCGAATATGACTTCAAAATAAGTCATATTTGAGAACATCTCACAATTAAAGGTACTTGTGCAATAAGAATTAATCTTTACCACACAACACTTTAAAACTGATACTGATTTCTGTTTAGAAGCTCCAAAATATGTTATTACTGTTATTAATTATTAAGATTTTAAAATAACATCATTTTGCAAACTTACTATATCTAATTTTTCCATATTGTTAAGATGAAAATAATTAAAAATTGCTGTGGCTGCATTTTCTCCATCAGTAATATTAAAATCTCTAAATTCGCAAAGTCAACTAATAGAATCAGTGGCAAAAATTGGATTTATTTGAATTCGCTATTTTAATTTAAAAAGAGATTAACTGATATGTTTATATCATTAACATTATGCATTAGTAAAGTATAATACTCTCACATGCAAGATAACAGTGATTTATATTCTAGTTACTGCTTACACTGATAGCAGAAAACATGTGTTATTACTTTATATTCAGACCATGATTACTGGATCTACAAGACCTGGTCTAGGGCTCCAGATTTTAGGACTGCCAAATCATCCTACATAAAAGTTAAGAAGGGAATGAATGAAGGCTAAAAGGAACACTATGCCTATGTATCCATGTCGCTTTTTTTTTTTTTTTTTGTAAATGCTTTATCATATCCTGTTAATTTCAATGCTATTTACAGGATATGTAATAGGAAAAGGGCTTATAAAGTTTATATATATTTTATTATTCTTTTCTTTTGTTCTTTTGTTGTTTTCTTTTGTTTAAAAACATTCTTTGTTGTAAAATAGCAAAACATTATTACTTCTATTTATGTATAATAAATATAACATGGGAATTTGTAATTATAAGTGATGCATAATTTTAATTTCAGGTCAGATTAATTCCTGGAATACCTCTTTTGTACATAAGTCACAATGCTATTAATCTTGAAAAGCCATCAGTAGTCAACAAAGAAACAATTCAAGTAAAAATGCAGGAAAAATTAAAATCTTCAGATTATCAGAATGCAGTTCTAAATAAATTAAAGCGGGAAATCTTTGGAGGTGAAGATGAGCCGAAAAGGAAAAAGAAAAAGATAAAAGGACCTAATCCATTATCATGTAAGAAAAAAAAAGAAAGACCTGTTGCACCTCAAAATGAAAAAAAGAAAAAACGGAAGAGGCACAAGAGGTCAAAAAATAAAGAAGGCCATGTGCCTCAGTTATTGTCATGCTTGGAATGACAAAAGCATGTTATCTGAAATTAAATATTTCAGAGTTGAATGAGCACCTGAACATCTATATCTGCTAGATCATGAAAGCTGTGGAAGTGAGTTTGATAACAATACCTGCCAAGCCATGAGAGCTATGGAAGTGAGTTTAATAATTATAGATAAATTGAATAGAACACATGAAACATTCTGCATTAGAAACATCTTTGGGTTATGATCTTATTGTCATTAAGCATCAGATGAAAATCATGCCAAATGAAGAATTTTGTATAACTTGAAAGGAAGATCAATAATTTCCTGATTTGTATATGAGTATTCCATACTGCAAGTTTTGTAAATGGTTATTTTATAAATATCTTAATTTACATAGTTACATTTAAACTCTGTATATTTAAATTTATCTGTATATTTTCTTATGCATATGTGAATTGTAGGGTAACTACTGAATAGTATCTGGAATGGTTGTATATATATAGCTTCTGATGATATGTAACTTATTGCACTGTAGTGCATTGCTTAATGGTGATTCATAGCAATTAGATGATGAGGCTGTGTGGCATTCCTTGCTTGGTTTTGTCTTCCACTTGGAAAATTAGATTTGATAGCATCCCTAATTTTCTTTTAGAGGCAGTACAGCCATTTTAATTCAAATGAACATAACCTCTTTATCAGAAATACAACTGTTAATAAATCTTTGCCAAAAATTACAGTTCTGTATCTCAAATGTCTCAGAGGAATGAAACTTGTATTTGAAACTCATTGATCAACTTGGTTCTGGGCTTCAAAAACACTTTTCTCTTGATAAGTTCTGTTTGAAGCATTGAACCGATGATATCAATATTTAATTTTTAATTTTGCTCATTTTAATACATAATGCTTTCCATATTTTATTTAAATTTTCATGTACTACGTTTGGATATGACTTTCTTTGAGGTAAAAAATGGTTGGGACCTTCATGCAATAAGACCTGTAAACTTGCTTTTCAGCTTCTACTATTTTCTCTTCCTTTTTTAAAAAGTTGAATTTTTTTCGAACCTGCAGCAATTGTGAAGTTTGTCTCTTAATTTTAAACTTATATTTTGAAATCTTTTCAAGAAGCTTTGACTGATATTCACTGCAGAATAAAAGGGATGCATATGGACTTTTCTGTAAATAAATAGCATGGCATAGAAATTGATAGGAATCTAGGAATCATCACTTCAAGTATGGTGTCAACGACTAAAGAGTTTTTACTATTCTTTCAAATAGTGCCAGTGGCAGTTTACGATTGTTTAAAAAATTAGTGGTGCGTAGAGCACCACGCCCGCAGGCGAAATTCTGGTCAAAGGTGGCAAGTCTTAGGAAAGTCACAGATCGTAAATGACATACATGAGTTCAAGTCATAAGCAATTAAATGTGCATAATCAGGTCGTATTTAAAATTAGAGTAGGTGTTGGCTAGTGAGTAGCAGTTTTGACGTGCAGAGTAGCTGAGAGTTCTAATCAGACTAGGATGAGCAGCGATAATAATATAAGATTACTGAGCTGTATCACGTGACGTAAAAGCATTGTGATTGGTGCGAAAGTCTATAAGCAGCGCTTGAATTATAATTAATATATCATTTTGTACAATCAAAAATACAATAAATCCTTTTAAGGCATGAGGTCATTGAAGTAGAGAAACTTCATAACAGTCCTTTAGACATAGTAAAAACAAAAACATGAGCTTAAAATAATTTAAATTTGAGTGCAGGGCATGTCATCACGTGCACCAATGAGCAGTGAGCAAGCAGTATTGAATCAAAAGTGCGTAAGACTGCAATGAAAACAGTAAGTACAATATGTTTCACAAAAAACACACAGTTCCTAAAACTTTGAGAAAGTAACAGTCCTTTCAGTAATAAAGTCCATAGTAATTAAAAAAATTATATGAAGAAACACAAGTCCTAAGGCTTTGTCAAAAACAGTTCCACTCTGGGTAAACAGAAAGTCCAAAGTCACACAAAAAACAGTTGATACTAGATAAATCAAAACACAATTCTTAGTTAAATACTAGTAGATAAAGCAAAAATATTTACAGTATGTACACTACCACCACTTTGGATTGTGGTGGATAGATCGTAGTCTTTTCATAACACTTTCTTGCGCATAATACTTGCAAAGAAATTATGCACATTGATAAGAATTTGATCATGAATACAGGGAATTTTCAGGTCATCATTAATTTGTTGATTTCGCTCAAACCAGGGTGCATCTGTAATAGCTCTGAGTATTTTATTCTGTAGCACACTTATTTTTCTTGTCTCCCTCTTATTTGCAGTTGCCCATTGCAGGCACTGCATACAGCAAAAGTCTTATAAGCGTGCATTTGATTCTTAAATCAAGCTTTGATTTTCTACCCATAAGTGGGTATAAAGCAGCGTTAGCCTTATTGATCACTGAAGTTATGTGTTCTTTGAAGGAGAGCGTGTTGTCTATATGCACACCTAAATATTTGTTGGAGGAAGCAACTGAGACTGGAACGATGTCAATTTCAATATTAATCTCCAAAGGATAGTGCTTCTTATATCTTCGATAGAGAACAATGCAGAATTTGGAAGGGTTTAATTTAATTTTTCAAAGTTTGCACCAGGCAACAATTATATTAACTTGGAATCTTAGTTTGTCGATTGCGTTCTGTGGGTTTGTAAAGTTCGTAATGATAACAATGTCATCAGCATATTTTAAAATATTAGAAGAGAAGGGCTTTGGCATGTCATTAATGAAAATATTAAACATTTTTGGTGAAATTACCGATCCTTGAGGGACAACTTCAAAAATAACTTTTTTACTTGAGACCAGACTGCACTTGAAAGGTTCTTTTTTTTAAGTAGAAAATAATAAGTTTGAGGAAGCTATTAGATAACATAAAATTTGAAAGCTTGTAAATTAAGTCGGCATGCCACACTCGATCGAAAGCCTTTTCAAAATCGAGGTAGAATGCAGCGACTCCTTTTTTCTTCTGGAATTCACTAGCAATATTTTCATTAAGGTTTAAAATCTGATGAGTAGTAGAATGCCATGTTCTAAAACCTAATTGATGATCGTCAATAAGTTCAAGGTGTTCGTTATGTCTTGCGCTGATAATTTTTTCAAGCACTTTACTGATGGCCGGTAATAAACTAAATTGGACAGTAGCTGGACACTTCCTTTGGATTTTTGTCAGGCTTGAGAAGCATTATTATCACAGAATGTTTCTATTGTGGGGGAAAATGCGTCAACCTAATACATGCATTGGAAATGTTGCAAAGGAGCACAATGCAATTTCTCGGAAAAGCTTTAAGGGCTTCGTTATTAATGTTGCAATAGCCTTTTGCTTTTTTCTTCTTTAAATTTTTGATAATTTTTCTAACTTCTCTTGGGGAAGTAAATTTGATGTAGTCTCTGTTATTTCTAATTTTGATCAGGTTGACTGCATTGTTTACTTCTTGTTCATGTTCAGAATTTTCTTCATCATGCTTTTCGAAGGTTTTGCTGAGATTACCGGCCATTGCTTCAGCAATCTTGATCTCGGACTACATCATCTGTCCCGTGTAATTAATTGGGTGGATGTGATTATTTTGCTGTGTACGGAGTGCCCTTGCAGTTTTCCACACTTTTTTGTCAGGACTTCCATGTGTTCTAAGATATTCCACACAGCGGTGCAATATTTCTTGATTCCTTCAGAAATTTTTCTAGTTAAATAATTTACTTGTGTTTTATCCCTGGGGGACTTAGTTAAGTGCCAACTTTTTCTGCATCTGTTTCTTCATTTAAGAAGGTCGATGATATAATTAGGGAGTTTTTGCGTATTGAAATTTTTGCTGGTATAGGTAACTTTAGTCATTGCTTGCTGGATTTTAGTGTTAAAACATCCCAGTTAATTTTAGTAATAGGTTTCTGTAGCCGGGGGGGGTAAAACCCATAGAAGTCGAAATTCACCGGATAATGGTCTGAGGAGAAGTCTTCGATTACTTCCAGGGCCGGAGTGGTTGCGATGTTCTTAAGGATGAGAATGTCGAGAATATCTCCATTCCCGTTGTAATGATAGTGGGTAGGGACACTGGGAGTAATGATGCGTATGTCTGCTTACATAGAATAATTCTGGAGGATAATTTCATTTCTGTTAGTTGCGTTACAGTTCCAAAGGATGTTTTTAGCATTCATATCACCAGCAATCAGTGTAGGGAAGATAGAGTTCGTTAAACTGTCCAGTGCATCATAATTTAAGATGTTATTAGGTGTGTTGTATACTGAAATATATAAAAAGGGGTTGCTGAAGCCTGTATTGGAACATTTATTGCATTAGTCCTGTATAGACTAATGCTCCCTTGCAGTCAATGTTCCCTGAATTTTGAATGTCAAATTGAGTGTTTTTAATATACCTTTTAATGCAAATCGCTGTGCCTCCTCTGCCGTTGTACTGGCAGTCGTTCATAAGGATGCTATACCCTGGTATGCTGACTTGCTATCAGATGTGTTTCATTTAACATCATGATATCTATGCTGTAAAAATTTAGTAAGATAATTAATAAGCTCCTGTTTTTGCTTTCTAATGCCATTAGTGTTAAAAAATGAGACTTTCAAATAACTTGTGGTTGTTGCAATCAAATTAATGGTAGGATGAATGGGCCTAAAATTCATAATTCAAGCTGGTGAAGTAATCAACTGCAGCCATTCTGACTTCAGTATTTTGCATGATAGACTTCACAGCCTTGAATTGGGTGAAAAAGAATTTAACTTTTGCAAATTGAGTTTTAATTCAGTCGAAAAACGACCCTTCGTTTTGATTGCTTGAAGCATTATTGTTCTATGCTTGTAATTGGCCGGGAGTGGCCTGAGTGTTTGAGCTCGGTAGTGCCGGAAACTCTTCTTTGTCTTGCACAGATCCTACATGTGGCCATATCTTTGGCATTTAAAACATTGTACGGGACCTGGCCTTGATTTATAATTTGCCATCTGGATATCTAAACCATGTAATTTCTTACATCAAAAAATTTTCTTCTCATCCTTAATCCGCTTAACTTCTGCTAGAAAGACTGGGAGCTTAACTAAGACACCATCACGGATGGTTTTGATTTGTTTTATTTTTAGAATTGGAATTCCCATGCCCTGAATATCTTTATATGATATTTCAATATTTGAAGTAGCTGGTAATCGTTTAATTATGGCCTTTAACGGCTTTTGTGAATTTAGTTTAAACGTATGGAATGGTAATTCATGCTTCTTTAGATAGGCTGTAACTTCTCTATAGGGATGAGTCGAAGATAGTCAGACGTCCACCTTTTAGATTTCCTGTATAATTTTTATGCCTAATTCTTCAATTTCATCCTTTAGCTTATACCAGCTTCCCTTGAAGTCTGCTAATATAATTGGAGGTTATGTGCCCTACAACCATTTTAGGGGTTTCAAAGGGGGCTTCATTTTGGTTATTTTCATCCATATTGACTTCATTATTAAGCTGTTCGAATTTATTCTTTTGTGTGGGATAGTTAATTTCAGGGTTTGAATGAATTCTTTTGTGCGTTTTCCATGGGGAAGTGAATCCTTTGCTGCCTTTTTCTTATTTTTGCTTCTATTGCTCGCTTTACACTTTAGGATTTTCGAACTCTCACATTTAGAGGGAGTTGTTAAATTCGCGAGATCCTTGTTAATTTTCTCTAAATCCGTATCCATACCTTTTAGCATAGTGGTCGTAAACCTATGCGCGGTATTTAGTTCCACTATTTTTTGGTCATTTTCAGGAAGTTTAGAATTTTTTAATGAATTTTGATCAGGCTCAATTTTATTTAATCTAAACATTAAGTATTCTCGTGTAATCTGCCCACTGCACTCACGCTTGAATTGCTCATGTAATGTTTTAACCTGCACTGCATATTCTTTTAAACTCAACTGCTCATCCATTATGCTGCTTAATGCTGCTAACTACGTTGGCCGCGGTAATGCATTTCAAGATAACAGAAGAAAAGAAAACTTACCCGGATCAAATCTGCAGCAGTAATCCACTTTGTGTAATCAAATCATGACACAAATATCAAACATTGTGTGCTCTTGGATTAGAAACATCACACTGTTTCAAAATCCATGCATAACTTTTGATTCTCCAATATCTTTACTAACTAGCTACTGTTAACTGGAAATTATGCAAATAAAAACAAATTGGATGTTAAAACATATTTACATATATGTGCTAAATAAAAATCATTAAAAATTAAAATTGTAAGGAAAAATGCATTTATCCTGTACACAGAAAAATAGACTTATCTTGTACACATCAGTTTTCATATATGATACAAAACAGTATATATGTTGTCATTAATGCTCTAACAACAAATATAAAAAATCTGATGTGTACACCACGACTTCCTTGTATGGAATATTAAACTATATGCAATTTTCCTGCATTTCATTTAAACGTATTGAATTAGAAGTTACCGAATTTTGAATTAAATCTACTTCGTGGATACTATAGAATAAATGCACTCATTAAAGTTCTCTATATTTATTTGCCATAGTGACACTTTGGTGCTAGTTTCAATTAACAGCATTACATCTCATTCATTTTATAGTTCAGAGTGCAAAGAAAATATATCATCTGAAGAATTACCACAAGTTCTATTCAAATACTATAATAAATCTGAAATGATATATAAAAGAAATTAAACAAATAAAAAAGAAACAGTTTTTCGCAGACGATTCAGAGCTGCTTACCTGAATGTTTATCTAATGCACATGCACTTCTAATTAATTCACTTCACGGCAAGGCAAAAATTCAAAATATTTTCATTAAAATTTGAAAGATATAGAAAAACGTAAAATACTAAGTACAGTTAAAGCAAAAAACAATTTTTACAATTAAAAATACAGTTTCAACGCAAAAACGAGCTAATAACTTAAATGATAATTCCAGAATTAATTAAGCATAATTTAATTCGCAATAATAAAAGAAGTTGTTACTTTGTTATTGCGAAGCTTAGTTTTTCTAGATTGGCAACAAATCCTCTATTCTGTATGTTTTAAATGTACACAAACAGCTATGTTTGTATGACCATGGTAATAAAAAATTTGGCTTAGCCGCAATTAAAAAACTTTTAAATTGCTCATAATTCCACAATTATTGCATGCAGGTTTAACTAAAGGCATTAAAAATCTTAACCAGAACAATATAATTCAATAATTTTTATCCCAAAAAATGCACAGTTTACAAACATATAAGAATAAAGCGCAGAATCGCCCACTTATTTGATTGGCGTTTGTTTGGTGCTTTTTACAAGAGTAAGAAGAATTGGATTTTTGACAATTTTCTTTGACTTTTTAATTGAAAATAGGTCAATGTGTATATGGATAAAGTCAAGGGAGTGCACAATGCCTTTTTTTTTTTCAATTCTGGAATTTTTCAAGTGAAAATAGGTCGATGTGTACATCGATACCAAGTATGTGTAATTCTTAAAAATGCGCCCAGCAGTGAGTGATTCTGTACTTTCCCCCAATAAAGAAACTTAGATCACTGTGCCAAGTAACAGAGTGAGGTCTTTTGTCTAATTACCAGTTCGCTTTACATTTTCTTTTTCAATTAATATATATATATATCCACTCTGTAATATATATATATTTACATACTCTTGGTGCGGCCCATTGCAACCAAAACATGAGGTGCACATCTACATGTTATAGCAATCCTATATAAAAAATTTCAACATTCTGAGGCTTTTCGTTTTTGAGTTATGCAAGATACGTACATATGTACGTACGCACAGACGCCACAAAAAATTTACTTTAGAATTCATTTTAAATCAGTTTTATAATTTGGGGGGGGGAGTCCTTTATTCTGTCCTTACTTACGGATGTCATGCAAAAATATCGTTAAATTGCATTCAATAGCGGTCAAAATGGATATTTTTGTTGAAATATGATACCTGAAGTTTTTTGCTATTACAGTACTTCCTTTTTACTTCGTACAAGGAAGTAAAAAACTAAAGATGAATTTGTGTATATTTTTAGTAGTAAACTATAAAATAGACTCATCAAATAGTATATTTACATACATGGGTCAAGTAGCATTGTGGCTATCTCCTACATTTGATGTTAATATTAAATAAACAGTGACATCACATGTGTCAACTGCAAGATTTGGTGGGAATATAAAGTGTGTTGTAGGTATTTGGAAAAAATATATTAATTGTTGACGTGAATAAACAGAGCAATTTATCAGACAAAAAAAAGGGGGGAGAATAATTATTGGCTTTCAGGCTAAGGGTGGCAGAATTTCAAAAATCATGCAGTTTGTGAACTGTTTGCATACTGCTATGGTGAAAGTGTCCTATGAATGGCAAAATGGCTTAATACAAAACTGCACAGTGCAAGTTCATTATCATTGAAGCTGCTGATGTTATTGGAGTAGTACAAATCATTACCACAACATTGAAATGGCTAATGTTTGCTTTATTTATGGGGGTAGTGAATAGAAGTGGGTGAGCCACAGTGTGATTGCACTGTAGACTGTTCCCATATAATGTGTGCTATATAATCAAACAGTTAAATGTATGAGCAAGATTGTGTGAAACTGGAATCTTCGACATGCTGCTGGAACTATGAAATTAGCACACTTCTCTGACATCATATATATCTAACCGTATTTTATTTTTTTGTTCTTTATCTGTAGCATATATGGATTGCATTTGGAACATGTTCCTATGTAAAAGGTTATTATTATTATTATTATTATTTGTTCCCGTCTTAGCTTTAAAGTTATGGAAAATCTTTTGAATTATCCTGCATATTTTAATAGTTATATGTTACTGTACATCAATTTTTTGGAGAGACATTATTTCCTCCATTTTGCATTGCTCTGATGTAAGGGAATATAAATATATTTATTTTTAGGTATTTACTCAGTTATGTTTTGAAAAAGTAAATGGCCTTTGAAAGAGTTTTCAATTTTGCTATTATCACATAAAGGGACAAAATATTTTGTTCATTGTTTTATATTGCTTGGTTCATATATTGTTGACTTTCTTTAAGTTTTAATGCATACATTATTTCATAACATTTTTTAAATAAATAATTTTGCATCTTCTTCTATACAGTTCTGTTTTCAAAATTTTTTTGTGAGGTAAAAAAAGCAGTATTTATGGTAGCTTCAATTCTTTTGTAATAGTTACCTTTGCTGTCAGATCAGATTATTGCTTATGATTTTGTGTGAATTTCAAGCAAGTATAATATTGCATGTAACCTGAAGTAAAACCATTTTATTGCCAGTTCACATGTTTACATAAACATTCAAAAACTTCTAAAATGTGAAAAGATGAAAATACTGAAATTCAATACAACTATTAATTTTATTTAAGCAAATATTATTAACTAGTATTTATTTAAATCAAGTAGAGTACAACGTCCAAGATCCATAATCATCGGGTCTTTGGCAATTCCAGATTTTAGGTCATCAGTTTAAATCTAGTAAAACAACATGTAAAAATTATAAAATTAAAAACATAAAATAGTGGTTTATGCAATATTAAAGCATTTATAACCTTAAAGGAATCGAAATTTATTTAAAAAAAGCTTGATATTTATTTGTTTGCTTTATTAATAATTTCTTTCAATATAAGTTGTTTAAGTTGCTTCGTTTCTTCTTCAGTTGCAAAGTTCCGTTATTCAAGTCCTGTAGTTGCGACATCTAAAATTCTGACTAGATTCTCAATCAAAATCTTTTCGTTCTCAAAAACCTCTTTTTCACTTTCTTCACTATCAATAGTGATATTTTCTGGATTTTAAACAGTACTGCAGATTTTGCCATTCATTAGTTAATTGCTGATTGCAGCATTGTCATCGTAATGAAAATCATTTGTAACATCATCTATATTTATTGACTTTTCTCACTATTTCTTCAACTGGAAAATTTTGCCTTCTATAGCATTCAAACTATAAAAGAAGATTTCTGTTTTGTATAGATTTCTGTTTTGTATAGTTTTGAAAATGCACTTTCTTAAGCCCAAAATTGTCCGAATAATATTTATTCTGGTACTCTTCTGTTATTGGGACTAGATTCAGAAATGTATGTATGCATGCAGATTTGTATGTGTGCATTTGGATTGCATGTGTGTATTTATACACACACATACATATGTACATATATACACACAAGCATGAATACATCCATCCGTACATATATGTATGCATATGCATACAGTTGTGTTTATAAACACATACATACATACGTACATATATTACACACATACAGGAACACATCAATCCATCCATACATACATTTCCGACTTTGGTCCTGATAACAGAAGAGTACCTTTTTCCTTGCCAAGGACACTATGGAAAACAAGTACTAAATATGCTTTTGCTTTGCAGATCCTGTTACAGCTCCAAAACTGAAAACTGTTCTTGACATATCAAAATTAAAGTTTGAATTTTTCATTAAGATAGCTGGAAAAACTGTAAGATAGCTGTAAAAACAAAAAAATAATAAGCTGGATCAAATGAAAAAGTTAAGGAAGAGTGCAGTTAGCTATATTAACTGAACTTAAGTTCTTCAGAACATAATTTTTCTCTCTTCTCAGCTACTATGCCAACAAAAGAAAACTAGTAAATAATTATAATTGCTATGTTAACAGAAAATTTCTTCGGAATCTAATTCTTTTTGCCTTCCCTGTTGTTAGGTCAACAAAAGAAAACTTGTATGAGCAATGTCCAATTCCAAATAAATATATCATAGGCCTTTACGTATTCTTTAGGTCAGATAGGAAAATTTAATCCCCTCTCCACAATTTCCTCAAGCCCTGAAAGCATGGTTGTGGCTAACATCAATCAATGTATTGTGATTGGCCATACTCTGATTCCCTAGTTAGCAGGTGTTTGCAAGAGACATACGGGAATCTCAGATATAAAAGAAAAGTCATTTTTATGCCCATACCTACTTCTTTATTTTTTAGTGTGATATTCTTCATTCCTATACTTGGTTTAAAAACAAATGCTGGTAGTCCAAATATTAGATGTTCCAATTTCAGATTTGGTACTATTTTTGTTAAAATTATGCACATAATTATTATGAGTGTTGATTCTGTATAAAATAATGTGCATATTTTTCTTCATCAGTGAAACATTATACCGTTTAAAAAAAAAAAAAAAAAAAAACTTCAGATTGCAATTCTTTCTTCACACAACAATATTTTTTTTCAAATCTTCATCAAGCAGCATTTCTCACTTCAGCTTCAAAAAGTATAATAAATTGCAAATTAAAAACTGTATAACAACATTTGCCAGATAATAAAATGCAAACAATTTCAAATTGATAAATGATTCATTTCAAAAACATATACTTACATAGTTGCTTATAATATATCAAATAGACATTTGTTACAGTATTTTCTTTTCTGGTATCATAGGTTTGGGGACTGGCATTAAATCTATGGAGAAAAAAAAGTAAAAATATAACAAATAATAAAATTTACCTATAAATTAAAGATTTAAGCAATTGTTATTACTTTTTTTATGCTGAGTGTAGTAGTATTCCTTTGTATATGCATCACAGTCATATAAAAAGAGTTGGTAGCCGTACATGTTGAAAAACATGCCTAAATCAAGATCTAGTTCAGTTAAAAATTCTTCTGGTTTTACTCTGAATCTGTTAAAAAAAAATAATAATTGAAACTTTTTATTACAAGATATTTGGTTTTTGAACTTGGACATAATGAGCAACAATAAAGAAAACTATAATTAAGACAATTTTACTGTAGAAAAAATTAAAGCAGAATTTTTACACCTGGTATTTACACTAACAATTTTGCAGTCAAGGATTTATATATTAACATTTGGCCTGTCTATCAGAAGCAAAGTGGCATAAATAACTGGTGTATAACCAAAGAAACATTATTATTTCTGTAATTGAAATTTGCCTTTATAAACTAATGACACAGTTATTTTAGGTCAAGTAGGTTTTAGAACATTGTATGAGCATTTTATTTATTATTCTAAAAAATACAAAAGGGAAATGATTGTTTGAATTGACATGCAACAAACCGCCACTTTATATGTAGCTTTGGCTTCTTAAATTACGAACATCCAGTAAAAATTCAGAGTTGTGATCTGAATAAAGTGCAGGTCTACTTTTAATTTTATAGAAATCCTTAGATAATACTATAAAAAGATTAAAATATGAAAATAATTCAACAGTAATAATTATAAGTTTAAAAATTTATGGCTTTTTTATGCGACACTTGCAGAAAAATCTGATATTTGAAAAATAATCATGAAAATTTGCAGCATGATAAAGTTGTTGCCTTAATTATATTGGACCATCATTGTCAGAATGGTTAGAAATGCAGAATGTGGTAGTTTTATTCCACCTTCAATTTCTAGTTTTAGAAGATTCATACAATAAATATGAGTCATATCCCTTAGAAAAAAATTTTTTACAGATTTCTTTCCTAAACAAATAGACTGAGTGCTTATGTAATTAATAAACCATGGCCGTAATTGATGGGAGCCATAATTTTGTAATTTATATAAGTCTCTCATAATCACTATGAGGCAATATTTGTAAGAATTTTTGTTGCTGAAAGAAGTATTTGGTTGTAAATTGCTTGGAATGTAAAAGCAAAGGGGGGATGAAGAAGAAAAGAAAAAGAGAGTTGCTTTCACACTTTCATTTTGCTTTTTTTATTTTTTAAAAAAACAAGGAAATAGACAATAAATTTTAATGCACTGAGCATTATAAGATGAAATTTTTAAAATGAACATTAAGATTTTAAGCACTTGCAGTTTAATATATATATATATATATGTCATAAATAAAATCACAAGGAAAGGACGGAACATTGTAGATGCGTGCCTAGATCCATATTGAAGAAGAATTTTGATTGCGTAGTATTTAAAGAACTTGGCAGTTGAGGCAGTTTTAATTCCATTTTTATTTCCAATTGATATTTGTGGCCACAATCACTTGGCACTCTAGTCGTGCTTTTCCACAGAAGATTTACATTTTTGATATTGTTGGGATAGAAAGCAAGCCAGCGAAATCACATCTTAGCACAGTAGCGAGCAAAAGCTGAAGTGCGTAGTTATGCAAGATGGAGGCACGCGAAGAGAAAAGTTTTGGTTTACAAGGACAGTTTCAGTTCCCAATGGTAACGTCATCAGAGCTGCGCCGATCATAGAGTGATCTAGAAATGACGCAATGCAAAGAAGTTATTACGATTTTAGAATAGAGAGGAAGAATTAATGTTTATAGTTTAATCTATAATTTTGATTCATATATTTTTATCTTACATATATATATATATATATATATTTATGGCTTTAATTTAGCCATAAATATATATATATATATATATATTAAACTGCATTTTTAAATTTCTCTTTAGTCACGTAAACTGTGTTTAATGTTAAATGTACAGTTTAACAATAAATAAATTTTGTTTAATACTTATGTGCAATGAAATTTATAGAAGACTATTAGTAAATAATATTTCTATTATTTAAGTTATTTTTTTAATAAACCTTTTATATAATTATTGAAAATTGAAATAAAATAAGCAAATGATAGATTTAACTCATTATTATGAAAAAATTTAACATTGTCTTGGATCAAATTATAGCTGTGTTCAGTTGCATTATTTTAATTATCTTATTTGTAAACTTGATTAAGGAATTTTTAGTCTAACAATACATATTTTGATTATCATCAGTATTACAGCTACTACATCTTTTATATTTATACAGAAAAATTTCTTATCATTGAGGAAGCATTTAACTATGTGTACTGAATAGAAACACGAGTAGTGGTTTTAAACTATTTGCTTGGGAGATAATCTCTAAATCAGACCACATGATTGGCCTAGAAAAATAATTCATAAAAATTAGAATATTTCATGGATTATGTCAAGGCCAGACTATGCTTATATTTTTCAAAAATTGGATATTCTTCATTTTATAAATTTCTAAATAAGAAACATAATATGGTTACAGAAAATAAATTGCTCCACCCCAGTGAATCCATGCAAGAATAGGTATACAAATTTGAAAAATGAATGCCTTTTCCTCAAAATAAGAAAACATTTATTTAAGATAAAGGAGGAATAATTATATACTTTAGCTCAACTTTGTATATGTGCAAGCTAATTTTTCTTTAATTTATAGCTAGAATTTCCTAAGATTAAAAAATGTTACATTTTTACATTTGAATAAAATTTTTAATTCAGTAAAGTGTTATGCACTAATTGCAACAAATAAATGAACATATTACTAAAAGCAGTTTCCATTAGGCATTTGAATCTTACTGTTCTGCAGTAATCTATATCCTAACTTTTTGCAAATAATAACTTCCATCAAGTGTACATGAATTTGCATGATAAGTACAGTTCATTTAAGAATCATGATGTCTTTCATAAGAAAGTAAAGATTTAGCAATGAAAAAGTTGCTAAAGTACTTTTGCTATTTGGGGTACGGGGAGTAATCATAAGCTTTAAATACATATAGATAGTTGGATTAATCAATGTTATTTTTAAAGTGACATCCTGGCTGATAAATTTCTTGAAATGATGAGAAATTTCCATCACAGTATTATAAATAAGCAATGCTCTGTTTGAAGTTTCATTGATGTAGCTAATTTCACTTGTCCCCTCATCGGAACAAGACCATGGATAACAGCAAGTAATGTAAGACTGCATCTGTTTTTCGCATGACCTCTGAGCATTATAAGTTAACAGTAAAGGCCCGTCCACATGACTAGGCTCGAAACGTAGCTGACGAACGCTCTTTTACATTACCAGAGAAAAAAACGTTCAAACGAGTACGCTTGCAAAGAGTGTGTTTAACCAATAGAATTATTTTGCGCAAAAATCACGTGGCGCTGTAATATAGCGGCAACGGAGCTGTATCGTGTTACTTCGCTGTGCTGCTATATGTTTGCAGCAAGTTGTCTGAATCAGATGATTTTTTTGATAGCTGAAACTTTACTTCATTAATCAGAGGCAAAACTGGAAAAAAAAAAATGAGAATGGATCCGAAAGATTTATTTAGAGCAACCTGTTCAAAGAGATTTTTTTTTTTTTTTTTACTGCCGTGTTTACGAAATGAATATCCGGAATTATTCAATTCCTACTAGTATTAGCTCACACTTTTCGTATATCTTGTTCAAATTTTCAGTCGTTAATAAAATACTTTTTATTCATTCACTCAAGTTGTACAATACAATTTTTTAAACTTGTAGTGGATGACACTTGATGATATTACAGCTTTTTCACATATTAAAATTTTTTTTATTTAAAAAAATTCTGTTAGTTCCCCCCCTTTGTTGATCTAAGTAGGAATTGACTTAATTTTTTTATATATATATTACTTGTTTTTTAATTACTTCAGAATGAGCATCGATCAGTTTGACAGACTTGCAGATTCTATATTGTATGCAAATTAGGATTTATAAAATTGGTTTAGAATACAGTATATAAAGAGAATTAAATTACTTAATTCTCTTTACACCATCCACCATATAATAAAATCAACTTCATATTTTTTAAACTCCCCCTCCCTTGGTCTTTCGTTTTTCTTTTTATTTATTTTTGAAAAAGTAAAAGAAAATTGACAAAAATCCAATTGTTTTTATCCTTGTAAAAAGCGGCAAGCAAATAAGTGGGCGATTGTGCACTTTAACCGAAAATTTTTTCAAAGAAAAGGCATCATTCATTATAGAAAATTATGTTTTAACAACCAACGAGATGAAATTATGCTTTAGCGATAACTCGGTAGCGAAATAGTGATGCAGGTATCCATTCAGTTATGTTTAGCAGTTTTTATATAAATTATAATAATGATCTGAAATAGTTATTTACTCTTATGATTCCATTCAGTCATGTTTAGCCTTTTTTATATAAATTATTATAACTAAAAGTATTATATGAAATAAACTTTTCATCAAAATTAAAACATCAGTCTTAAATAGTTATTTACTATTGTACTTCCTTTCCTGCATTAGGGTTGCTGCAATTATTTTTGGCAACACTGGCATCAACAATAGTTTGGCGATTTTTTACAGCCCTCAAAACCGAATAGTACCTATTTGGGCTGATCTTTGGAATATGGTAACTGGTAGTTTGGAGGCGATAAAGGTACGACTTTGGTAATAATGTGAGAAGTACTCAGTTCCGATTACGCATTATTTTGTGTGAGGGAAATGAGAGATCATGAGGTATGTCATGTGACATTAATGGATGAATTACAGTTCTTTAATCGGAAAAGGGGGGAATTTGGAAAACTGTAGTACTATATTATTTTGTATTAAGCTTCATTGTGTGTTGTGTGAAATAGTGGAAGTGTGTGTGCCACGTAATGAAGATTCTGAAGATTAGGTAAGTTAGTATTTTTAATCATTTGAGGAGATTATTTTTATGCAATTGTTCTTAAATATAATGTAAGGAGTAAATAAATTAATATGGTATTATTGGAAAATTGTTATTAGCAATGATTTAGTTTAAAGTAATTAGGATTGTAATCTAATTTTTATAATTAATTAATGTATGTGCTTATTTATATTTTAAGTAGTGTTTTTTAATTTAATTATATTTTAATTTAATGATCGTGATTTTGTGAGTTATATGTTTGTAGTATTTTGGAATACGTTTGAGTAG